AGAGAGAGAGAGAGAGAGAGAGAGAGAGAGAGAGAGAGAGAGATTTGTATTTTTAATGTAGCTTTAAAAATATTTCAGTCATATCACTATACGATGTCTGCAGTATGGCAGATAATAGTGATGTCTAGCAAAAAGGGATCATGGAGCATGATGTCCTACCCAGTCACATTATCTTGACACCAGGCCGACCAGTCCTAACACTAACCACTTAAGACTGAGCGCGAGAGAGTTTATTTGCACGCCATTCATTTTGCAAATGAGCATAGATGCCCGCCCTAGTGAATGAATTGTCAAATTCCCAAATAAAATAGTTGACATTTCGTTTCTTATATACCCATATGGAAACTTCATCGGGCTTTGTTCCTCATTGTCTTATAGGTTTTGACCTGTTAGTAATGGGTGTGATTTGACTGTTTGACCTTTAGCAAATAATAGGTGTGATTTGACTGTTTGACCTTTTGCAAATAATGGGTGTGATTTGACTGTTTGACCTTTTGCAAATAATGAGCGCGAATTGACGGTGTTTGAGCTGTTGCTAGTAATGGGCGCGATTTGACTGTTTGACCTATTGCTAGTTATGGATGTGATTTGTTGATTGTGTTTGACATTTTGCCAGTAACGGGTGTGATTTGACTATTCGACCTATTGCTAGTAATGTGTGTAATTTGAATGTTCGACCTGTTGCTGGTAATAAATACAATTTTAGCTTTTATCACGTTGGCAGTAACGGGTGTGATTTGACTGTGTTTAGCCTGTTGCTAGTAATCGCTGCGATTTGACTGTGACCTGTTGTCAGTAACTGATGTGATTTGACAGTATTTGGCCTATTGCTAGTAATCGGTAAGATTTGACTGTTTTTGACCTGTTGATAATAGGTATGATTTGACAATATTTGACCTGTTGCTAGTAATCGCTGTGATTTGACTGTGATCTGTTGTCAGTAACTGATGTACAGATTTAACAGTATTTGGCCTATTGCTAGTAATCGGTAAGATTTTGGCTGTTTTTGACCTGTTGATAATTGGTATGATTTGACAATATTTGGCCTGTTGCTAGTAATCGCTGTGATTTGACTGTGATCTGTTGTCAGTAACTGATGTACAGATTTAACAGTATTTGGCCTATTGCTAGTAATCGGTAAGATTTTGGCTGTTTTTGACCTGTTGATAATTGGTATGATTTGACAATATTTGGCCTGTTGCTAGTAATCGCTGTGATTTGACTGTGATCTGTTGTCAGTAACTGATGTACAGATTTAACAGTATTTGGCCTATTGCTAGTAATCGGTAAGATTTTGGCTGTTTTTGACCTGTTGATAATTGGTATGATTTGACAATATTTGACCTGTTGCTAGTAATCGCTGTGATTTGACTGTGATCTGTTGTCAGTAACTGATGTACAGATTTAACAGTATTTGGCCTATTGCTAGTAATCGGTAAGATTTGACTGTTTTTGACCTGTTGATAATCGGTATGATTTGACAATATTTGACCTGTTGCTAATAATTGGTGCGATTTGACTGTTTGACCTGTTGCCAGTAACTGGTAGGATAAGACTGTATTTGACCTGTTTCCAATAATTAGTGTGATTTGACCGTGTTTGACCTGTTGCTAATAATGGGTGTGATTTGAATGTTTGATCTGTTGCTAGTAATAGGTGTCATTTGACTGTGCTTAGGGATGAGTTTTTTTCCATACGCTAAGTAAGATATATTTTTTTTTATACTGACATTTGTCTTTTTGTGCAAATATATACATACATCACTTATTATCTGTTGAGCACTCAGTGTTTCAAAAGAATAATAGGTGAGAAGAAACTGACTACCTGTGCATTCCTATTCGTCGAATAGAGCGCGAACCCGATTGAGTGACTCTTGTTTGAAAATCAAATTGATCTGCATTAGGTAAACAACGTTACCGTGTCTCAACAAAAATCGTCTGGAAATAATATCATAGTTTCTAATAATCAAATTCAAACAAAACCTAAATACGCATTAATAAAGTAAGTAGTGTTTAAATCTACGCATGCGTCATACGTTAAATACGCAGACTTTTACGATTTGACGCACTAAAATCGTCTCCGGTACGCACCCAAATCTTATGTTTTGCTGATTAACACAAAACAAAGGTTTGGTCTGACTACTTAAATGGCGTGGTTGCAACTCTCCAAAACGGGGAAAACGCGAACATCAGTTTCTTACTCTAAAGTTATCATAAGGCATATAGGGTTACAACTGAGCGTGGAGCCTGGAACTGACCTTATGTGACCTGTAATTGTCAGGTAAATAATTCTCAAGAGAAACTATTATTTTATGCGCACCCTTGTCAAACAACTAGCAACAATTTTCATTCGTTGAATAGTACGCCTTGCGTTGTTCCAAGATACTTTCAGCGTTCGACTGAAAATGGCGACGAAAGCAAAAATAAATGAAATAGATTCGAAACAATGATAACAGTAGTGATATCGAACCAGTGGAGCCTTCATCATCCAAAGACGATAAAACATAATTTTGTGTAGCAGTGGTTGAAAACAGCCGGCTACAATTGAGTGTGGAGCCTGGAGCTGTGTGACCTGTAACAGTCGGATCATTTGTTGCAACAATTGTTATAACCATATCTTACCACACTTAAGAAAGAGACAGAATATAAACACGTGATTTTAAAGTGATTCTCACGAGAAACTAGTGTTGTATGCGCACTCTGTCACACAACTAGCAACAATTTCATTTCGCTGAATAGTATATACTGCCTTGCGATGTTCCAATATACTGTCAGCTTCGACTGAAAATGGCGTTGAAGGCAAATAATCAAAATAGATCCGAAACAAACGAAATTATATTTTGGATCGTTTTTACGTGCGACCGATGATAACAGTAATGTTATCGAACCAGTGGAGTCTTCATCATCCAAAGACGAGGTAACGGTTACTAGTAAGATGAAACGTAATTTTGTGTAGCAGTGGTTGAAAACATAAGCTAGCTACGTTTTCAAAAAAAAAACTTAAGTCGAGCGAAGACTGCGAAAGTGAAGACGCCTTTATGTTTTGCTATATATGAATAGAGGCTAGAAAGTAAACTCTATGACCAAATGTACAAAAAAAAAATAAACAAAAAAAAAAAAAAAGATAAGCAAAAACAAACAAGAACTTTCAGAACAATACATTGACATGCATGGCATGCTGGATTGTCAGAACACAAACTGCTGATTAAAGGTCCACAACACCAGGCAGACTGAAATGCAGTTTTACACAAGCATTCTTCCAAACAAGACATAGCAGTAAAAGAGTTACTGAAGAGTGTACATTGGCTGAGCGTAGAAGATATCCCTTTTTAAAATACAAATTTCTTCTTAATTTAATAAAAGACTTAACGGCTGAAGAAATCGATCCATTGGCATTAAAAGAATTTAATATTTCTTCGGATAATGCCTGTTCAGAGTTATTGCAGAGCCTATCAAATGTTGTTGAAGATAGTCTTATACATACCTGCACAATTCGTCATTTGTGACAGTATTTGCAGATGAAAGCACTGATATAGCCAGTAATAAACGCCTTGTCGTATACGCTCAGATTATGTATCATAACATAAAACTGTCAACAAGATTTTTAACCAATATGGAATGTTCAGATGCGTCTGGAAAGGAAATTGCAGATTCCATACTACAGGAATTTCAGAAGAGAAGAATTGGACCAGAAAAGATTATGAGCTTGGGATCTGATGGGGCATTAGTGATGACAGGGGAAAATAATGGTAAGTTGGAACTCTAGTCAATAATTAAATTTTTAATAATGTGATTCAATTTATTTTATATATTTCTACAAAATGAAAAAAAAAACAATTCAGTTTTTAGAGATTAATACTATATTATTATAACTAAAAATGTCATAAATATTTTTTAATGGATTTTAATCCAGTCTGTACAAAATATTTTTCAGGCTGTGTGGCAATAATGATGGGTAAAATCCTTATGTACAATGTCCATTGTGTGGCTCACAGATTAGCATCATGCACTTCATAAGCAGCAAAATGCATCCCTCAGCTTATGCAGCATCAACTAATACTGACTGACCTTTTTATTATTTTAAGGTGGGTTTATATTTCAATTATGTCAACTAGAATTAATTTTTTTTATTGGATTCTTATTGATGATTATTGATGATTCAGAATGTAAATTATTTTTATCATTGGCTGCTTTAATGGTGTTCATAATCATACTAATGTATAATAAATAATCTTGTGTTAAAATGAAAATAATGAAATATTAAATAATATAATTATACATGCATATCAATCGTCATAATTCAATTGCAGTTTTAAAGTTTAATAATAATTCATAAATTGTAAATACAATTTTTAATTTTAGGGCAGTGCAAAATAGGAGGAAGGCTACAGCAGATATAGGCGATAGTTGAGGATCCAATGCTGACTATCGAAAAGATACATTCTGTAAGGTAGCTGTCATATTTAATGCCCCCACCACACTTTTTTTAGAACTTTGGATAGCCTTCCTTAACATATCTAGCAGAATGCCCTTTTAGTGAGCCCAAGGAATGTGGACTAAAGAAAAAGTCAAGTCAAAATCATTAATTTACATCTTAACATAAGAATATTTATCATTCAAACCACAATACAATTGCATGTTCATTAACCACAATCATCAAAACAAATAAATATGAGGGTATTTTTAAATGTAAATTAATTGAATGTTCTATAAAACGCATGACTTGTCATTCAACCTTTATATCTGTTATTTATTTCCCTTTCTTTGCAGATTGCTACTGATATATTCATATCCAAGACCTACCTGATGATGGATGCAATGTCACCAGTGACTATCCTTTCACAATTTTTCCAGATTGAGAATGTGGATGTTATGAAGGTAAATTCCAAAATTAAATCCCAACATGGTTTCAGTAGATTTGAAGTTAAAGCATTGTTCTGGTGACAGATGTGTGTTGAACGGAACTTCCAAAAGTATAATTCCTTTCTAGCTAAAGAAACCGCTCCGGTGACCTAGTGGTTAGAGCGTCCGCCTTGGATGCGGGAGGTTTTGGGTTCTATCCTCGGTTGTGGTCATACCAAAGACTTACAAAAATTGTACTAATAGCTGCCTCGCATTAAGAGGTTAGTGTTAGGACTGGTCGGCCTGGTGTCATGTAATGTGACTGGGTGGGACATCATGCTACATGTCTGCGGCATGATGCCATAGTGCTAGACATCACTGCAGACATCGTAGCGATATGACTGAAAAACTGTTAAAGCTACGTTACAAATCATAATCACATCACATCACATCACATCACATCTTCTCCATTCCCCTGTCAAGCACAACGGACAAACTGCGCAGAAATGTTGAATGGGAGAGAAAAAGAATTTGGGCTGGATTAAAACCTTGAAACAGAAATTACAACAAGTAACCTTCAAGAATATGTATCTTCGTAACGATACGTATGCTCTTTCCTTTGGATTTATCAGCAGTATTTATCAATGATACAATGTTGCAAATCAGTAAATTTCTCAGTTACATATATTTATTGTTATGTTGTTTTTGTTTTTCCTTAAACATAACATAATGTTCTAAAAAATCGATATTTATTATTTAAATATGAAAATGTCCAAATCTCTCTCTCTCTCTCTCTCTCTCTCTCTCTCTCTCTCTCTCTCTCTCTCTCTCTCTCTCTCTCTCTCTCTCACACACACACACACACACACACACACACACACACACACAGATCTTGTTTGTGGATATAAAATCGAATTGTGCGTCTAATAATTACATATTATAGTTTTTTTGGTAATTCTGCAAGTTTTCAGCGTTTCATACGGTAATAAATGTGCTGTGGACTAAGATAACGCGCTAGTTCCACACAAAATCTGGATGAAAGTCTCAGATTAAGTTACAATCATTTTCTTCTAGTATAATTTCAGCTTGTCTAAAAATGGCAAACTTTTTTATTTTACAAAATAATCGCAAAAGGTTGCCCGGCATCTTTTAATCTGATAGCGATCAGCGTAAGCATATAATAATAAGATTTTATAAGGTCAAGGCAATCTGAGTAACGTGCTTTTCGCAGGGACACACATCTAGGCGACACATCTGATCGGATTCTTGAATTTAAGCATGCATTATTTCGGTTGCTAGTCCGGCACGCTAACCCCTGTCAGTGCAACTCCTTGCCAGAAATCTATAACAAACAATTTATCCAGTTTTAACCGCGTTAACTAGATCGTAAAGAAGCCTTACCTGTATTATACCCATAATTTACTCTTTGATATTACCTATTATACGTAATAGAGTGTTTGCACTTCCGCTTTGAGAACAGGAAAGTATCGATGGAGATTTCAAAATATGTTTCACCAAGGAAGGGCCAATAGTTATATAGAACGCCATTTTCTACCTGTACCAGTCATGGATGGAACTTTTTTTGTTTTACAATGGCCTGTTCTCCTTTTGGTTGTGTTAATGGTTCTGCCCAATCGAGGTCAGCAAGGTAAGGAACGTTTCGGGTTTTTTATGTTGTGGGTTTGTTGTTTTATTTGGGGTTCTTTTTTGGGGTGGGGTGGTGCAGATTGTGTGACTTGTCCATAATTACGCACATCACACGCACACACAAGCTGTCGTATTGTAACGAATGGGTTATTTCATAACAGGGAAAACCACGGTATCAATGTTTTATTACCAAAGGACATAATCATTGTGTGCTGAAACGTTGTTTAGTGAAGCGATTATGTCTTCAAAGTTCAGTTGACGGAATACGAAATCAATGACCGTTTGTGTCAATAGCATATTGAATTTCACGAAGAAAGCATAACACGACAAAGCTTTATGTTTGTCAGTGAGAATAAAATTGTCACTTGAGAGAGAGAGAGAGAGAGAGAGAGAGAGAGAGAGAGAGAGAGAGAGAGAGAGAGAGAGAGAGAGAGAGAGAGAGAGAGAGAGAGAGAGAGGTAATAACTCATTTCTACATGATGCCAATCAAAATTTATATATTACGTTACACTCTTAAAAGGTACTTAGTTTACATCCGGGAGACGTATTGCTGCGGGTTCCCTATAAATCTCTATATGAAATAGTTTTGTTATGGAATATATGCCATAAAGTTGTTTGGAGATTTAAAATCTGCATAACTAGGAACAAACAACTTTTATTCACTGTTTTAACTACCTTGAACAGAACTGATGAGGTAATCGGGACATTCCAGCCAATTTATTTTATTTGAGAAAATATTCTTACAGGAGTTCTATTAACCCTTTCACGCGCTATCAAGGTTAATTGATTATTCATTCTCATACGAATAATGGATGGTAGAATTATAAAGAACGCCAGGACCGTCTTCTGTTATTGACTATTTATATATGTGTTGGATTTTCCATTATACGTGGTACATATTTCAATATACGTGGTTCATATTCCATTATACGTGTTGCTTATTTTTATACGTAGTGCACATTCCATTATAAGTGTTCCTTATTACATTATACGTCGTGCCTATGCCATGATACGTTGTGTATATTCCATTTTACGTGGTGCACATTACATTCTCTATTAGGTGTACTGTATTTTCCTTCATACGGGGTGCTTTTTTATTATTCGTAGTGGTTATTCCTCTGTAAATGGCGTTTATTACATTATATATGTTACATATGCCGTTTAATAAGCTTACTGCATCACTTGATTAGCAGTTTGAGATTGATTTCCACCTATTATTGTATTTCTACTCATCTAATGTATCCTTTCTCTCTCATATTTCTCCAAATTCGTCTCCTCTTTCTCCTCGACTTTTCTCCAAATTCCATCTCCTCCTCATCGACTTTATCTAGACTCGTCCTCTTCCACTTTCTCTGCCACGACTTCTCTTCTGTCAACTACGACTATATCGACTACAGTCTCAACTTTTGAAGACTTGCGACCCAATTGAACCCAAAGTTTGGTGTCCCCTAAAAGCTTCCTGTGAAAACACCAGGACGGTGCAATCTTTTTTTATTAGCCCTCTATCTCACACTACACACAGCCTATCATCAAATAAAGGCTATTAAATTTCTTCGGTCACGCATTCGTTCTTATCGAGATACCACGACGTTCTTGTTATAAAAAAGCACGGCATCGATTACTTCTCAAACATTCATCAATAAATTCCGTCACATCAATACGTATTCCTAATCCAGTTATATTAAACACTAGGACAATAATCAGACGTATTTCTTTTCTTTATAACTCATATAAAGTACATAAATATTCAAATATTCATGCTCTGATAGTTGCATACGTCCATAGTAACTGATCTTACATACTTCAACCATGTTTCCAAATTCACTATTCAAGCACGAGTAAATTCTAACATAACGCATTACTAAATGCACTGGTTTACTACGAAGTAACCTGATAGCAAATTACAAAATTAATTTTGACAAGCTAACAATCTAAGTAATTCCGCCTCGCATCTATCAATTCTCTAGGTTGACTCAAGCCCATGTCTCGTACGCATGTAAATAAGACACTACAAAGGTATTTTGACATACCAAACGATCCTAATAATTAAATGTACATGCTACAAATAATTATAATTATGATGCCTTTATATTCTGCAAAAGTCGAGCATATAACTTACTGACCTTTTCGAAGCTTTGGCTTTCATTAGAATCTACCTCCAAGTATTGTCGCCATATTAGGAGTAGCTTCGTTCTCGGAGTAACCCTATTAATATACAATCCCTCTAGGCGAATACGAAATTTTCTCTTACGCGTCTGAAGTATCATTTGCATTGGAATTATATTCATACCCTGTATTTCAGGTAGACTTCCTTTTGATCTTTGACATCATGAATTAATCTTTAAAACGAAAAAGGTGATAACTACAAGCCTTTTTTTAGATGGTGGGATCTATCGCCATTACCTATTCAAGGTTCAGGTCTACGGCGGATCTTGTAACTTTGTGTAAGAGTTTAATACTAACCCGCGTCAATCTTTAGAATCAAGCACATGGCCGCGGTAAAAATCTAAAGACAGATAGGCAGTAGCTTGTACAAGACTTTATAACTGGGGCTTAGCGTCACACACACACACACACACACACACACACACACACACACACACACATATATATATATATATATATATATATATATATATATATATATATATATATATATATATATATATATATATATATATTGTTGCTGTCATAGTAATGCTTTACATTTCCCTCCAATTTGTTGTATAAATATTGATTATCATTAAGACAAGAAAATGGGTATATATGGTAGTTTTAGTTTAAAGGATTTTAAGCTGTCAGATATGGTAATGTTAGAATTTTTTTTTACATAGTTGACACATCTGATATTGATAAACATTCTGACACATAGGACTTGGAGTCTGTATTTGTCATCACTGTAAAAGCAAGAATTTATAATGTTAATGAACCATGACTGTGTCTCCATTCTGTAGTTTTGATCAACTATCGCCCTAATGTACAACTACCCATCTGTTCAGTGTAAAGAGAAGTCGTCTTGAGCCCAAGCTTGGGTGAACACTAAAAATTTTCTGGGTATCTACTTTGTGTTGGATGTTATTATTTGCAACTTTTATAGCTTTAACACATACATACATACATACATACATACATACATACATACATACATACATACATACATACATACATACATACATACATACATACATACATACATACATACATACATACATACATATATACATACATACATACATATCATGTAAATCTGATTTGAAGACAAAGAAGCTATACAGAAACCCGGTCGCAGAACACTTCTCCGCCCCTGGTCACACTTTCAGTGATATAACGTTTATCGCAATTGCTAACAACCCCAAATAGAGTTCCAAAACCAAGAAAGAAAAGGAATCTTACTGACTACGCCGCCTTAGAACATTAAACCCAAACGGGTGTAAACCAAGAAGACTAGAATAAGACAGCCATGCACAAGTGGAAATATCCGTTGCAGCCAACGTATTTTCTCGTCTAAACTTTTCTAAATTTCGTTAGTAGCCTTCAATTACTACAATAAGAATGAAATGTTTGGGATATAATTTGCGCTTTTATA